AACAGGTCTATTTACTGTAATGAGAAAGTTTACCTTACCGTTTTCAAGAGGGGGAAAACCTTGAATTTTGAAGAACAAAGTCATTAGACACCTAGCTCAAAAGCGAGAAAGGTCATTTCCCGGCATCTGGAAATCAACATTTTCCCGGGGAAGGAATGTTGACCCCACCACCTAGATTTGATTCCAGATCTGCATGATACATATTCCCATTAATCTTATAAGTGGGCCCCCTCACTTTGAAAAACGTTCCGCCGGCCCTGTTCTATTTCAAATTCCTGGATCCGCCACTGATATCATATGATTTATTTTGTGGTTAAAAATATTTAGAATACATTGACAAACATGATTAAAAAAACAAGCATTTCTAAAATCCCACAATGGAATTGGCGACTGAGGCCCATAAAGGGGCCCCCAATCTCAGAAAGCCTGCCACTGAACCCAATATCCAGAGCTAGTCTTCAGGAAACTACACATTTTCTCCTGGAATTAAAATTTCTCCACAATTTCCTCAGGATTTCACCACATTTTACAACAAGTCATATGCTAATTTAAATTGTTTCTTTCTTAATCAGACAATAGAGCAGACATGAAGTTTATCACGGAGGGCCCCAGTGTACAGCAGTGCCATCACTGATCTGTGTTAACCTTGCGAAATCATGTCAGTCAGCTAATTCACTTATGACAATTTAACTAACATCATCCGTGCCATATACCCACTCCCTTAAGACTACTAATTGGAACAAATGTTGGGGTTGGTTTAAGAAAGTCTTGTTAGAGGGCTCTACTGTACTGTAAGGTCCAGTGCATACACTCCCGCAATCCTGTACAATTTCAAGAACCCAGAACATCCTTTGAAAATTAAGAGTGTGGGGGTTTGTATGGGTTTTCCCGAATGTAGGCAAAAATGGCCTTGGTAAAAATGGTTCCAAATGACAGGTAGGTAAAAATGTCCCCCAATGATAACATTTATTAGGCCTAATTAATAAAACCAATTTTGTTTTAATCTTCCAAATATTTACAAAAATATTTGCAAAATAGCGAAAATTGAATCAATAAATCAATATAAATCGATGTAGTCCATGTGTTCTTGAGAATGATTTTTATCTTGTTTATTTGAAAATATTTATTTATTTTAAGGGATAGGTAGAGAGCACTTTTTTTACTTTGTTAATAATTTAATTTGTTTAAGTGAAATGATAACAGGCCATTTAAAAAAAATAACTCTGTTATAATACAGTACATTAAAATATAAGTGGTAGTAAACTTTTTTCAAAGATACTACTCAGTGGTGGCGCCAGCGGGGTGGCAGGGGGTACTTAAGCCCCCCCACCAGACAGGTCAAGCCCCCCCGCCGGACAGAGCTCGTCGGGCAGTCAGACCATAAAACATTTAAAAATAGGCCCACACCAAGCCAACACATGTCTGTCACAGTCAGAGAGTGCCATTTTCGGCCATCCAGAGGTTGATATTCTTTAAAAAAAATCTCATTTGGGAGGGATACCCCCCTCTCAACCCCTTCCTCCAGCTCGAGCCTACGAGCTCGAGTCCCCCATGTTGGACAACTTAGCCCCCCCAGAAAATATATCCTAGAGCCGCCACTGATACTACTGTCAAGTGAGTTTTAAAAACAATTTTAGCAGGAATTTACATTAAGATATGGTAACATTTTGTTAATTTTTATTTTAAAAAAATACCTGCTTCAAAACAGCAGCATCATCTTTTTTAAAAATTAATTACTATTGATTGATTAAATTATTTTATTAAAAAAACCCAAACAAATGATGCAAATTACTGAATGTTATAATGTAAAAGTTGCAATTAAAAAAAAAAATTACTTATTTTTTTTAATCTATTAACTATTTTAGTATTTTTTATATATTTACTGCATAAAGTAATATAAATGGCAACTTATTTGACATTAGATTCTTTTTAAAATCTATTTTGTATGATTTATATTGATTTATTGATATATTTTTGCTATTTTTCAGCATTTAAATAGTTGGAAGATTATTTTTTTTTTTAATGGATTCATTACTCAATTTTATCTACCTTTCATTTCGGGCCATTTTTACAGGGGGAAATTTGTTTTCGAACCATTTTTGCCAGGCCTTTTTTCAGGGGTCATTTTTTCCAGGGCAATTTTAGCTTCTATTCATATGTTTTTCTATGCAGGCAGTAGCGTAACATGATCGATGGGACTCTTCATGAAGTAGAAAGTTGAATAAATTTTGTAAGAAGAAAAAGCACTGAATAAGTAGTCATACTTGTATCCCCACTATTAATATAGACTTATAGTTTAAAAATAGAAGTGTTTAAAAGTAATATAATATTTGCTCTGACTTATAGAAATATGCCCCACCCCCAATGTCAGTAAACTACTGTGTAATTGTCAAAATCTTTATTTTAGTACCAGCCTAGGCCCAGCTGCTACCTAGGGCAGGCCCTTGTTTCCACGCCTAACGTAGCAGTGGCGGATTCAAGGGCACCCATAAATTGTTAATAATCATTTTAAAAATAGAGAAAAAATGATGGTGAGGCTGAGGTGGTCTAGACCCTCTATCTGTGAAAGTTCCTCCCTGGGCCCTCCATTTCAAATTCCTTGATCCGCTACAGCCTAGGCCCCTGCTTCTGCGCCTAACCTACTGTAGGCCCCCGCTAACTAAATTTCTCTTGAATATAGGATATGACCTGTATTAACAATTAAACTACCAAAAACTAGAACTGCAACATGATTCACTACTACTCACTCACTGCCTGTAACAAAGTCAAAATTAACTAGTCAGGATTTATGGAAATCATTGACAGTTTATTTACTCATAAAAATGTATAGACCTATTTAGAAAATACATTAACAATTAATCTACACTATGTTGTTGAGAGGTATTGTTCCTGCTTCTTGTGTTGAAGACTCTGGTTCAAATTGGAGTCTGATCCCTTGTCTCTTAGAATAACCCTCACAGGGTAAGGACCATGTTTGTATCCGTATGTCCGTTATGTAGTAGTTAAGTTGGGTGGCGTTGCACTGAGGCTCCCCAGGGGCCCAGCCCAAATTTTCAATTACAATGAGGACCAATAAAATAGTAATAATAATAATAATTATTATTATTATTATTATTTTTATTATTATTATTATTCAACTTTTGACCTTGTCCATTTGAATTGCATCATAAATATTATTTTTTTTATCTACAATAACCCAACTATAATACTATAACTAATGATTATTCATTAATTTGATTCACTCATTTCCTCACAGCAATCACCATACTTTATGTACACAATTTTCGACATTGGCTTTTTTCTGCTTTTTGTAGTTCATTTTATTTCATTTTTTATTTGCTCAAACTTGCATGTAAAATCCACCACATCAACTCAATTACAAACTGGCTCTTATAAGGTAAGCCCTATTATTGAAGTAGTCAAATACAATACAAAGTAGTTTAGTATCTTCATTGTGTACTTTTGGCATCATCTAAGTTTTGGTTGTAATGAATGTTATTGTGGATAGTTTACCTTGACTGAAACAATAATATTATTGAACTAAATGCCTGTCATTTGCCCTTTAAAAAAAGTGAAATTCTCCTACTATATTATTATATTTTTAAAGTTTATCATGAAATTTTAAGATGTTATTTGTAATTGGAATATTCTATATGATTAGGAAGAGTTTTTTGAGGATCAAATCAATAATTCCACTTAACATGTTTATCATAAATTCTCATTTACTGTATGTTTAACATTTTAGAAATTGAAAATTCTCATTTAACTACATTTATGAACACAAGAGACAATATAAAAGTTCACATACATCCTGTGATTCATTCAACTCAATCAAGGATGAATACTGTATTTTGCAATTTTCCTAATAATTTTGTTCAACTTCCTATTTTCAGCAAGGTTATCCCATAATCCCCATGACAATTTATCAATTAAAATTAAAGTTGAATTAGGTTTGTGTTATATTTACAGAATATATATTGTATATCAACATCTTTTTTACCAATCATCATCTGGCATTTTAACAGTCTTGATCCAGAAGACCTTAAACTTTAGGCCTATATCAAACCACATATTACAAGGGACACAGTGTTGAAATAGCACTTCTTAAAGTACTGGATGTTAACTTATATGTCTTGGACATACATAATAATGGTCCTTGGCCTCCTTGATTTGTCATCAGCTTTTGATAGCTTAGACCACACCATTCTTTTGGCTCGCTTTCCTCATGTTTCCTCATTTGGTTAATATATTCCTTCACTGTGAACAGCAAACTTTATTCTAAGTATCTTCGCTGAACATTCTCACAGTTTTTACCAATAAAGCAAGTTCATCGTTGTTTTTATTATGGATATGAGATTGTCCATGAATATTAGGTGCATTATTTTTCTCCTGTTTCCCTAAGATTATATTTTACCTTTGTCTCATTCAGTATCAAAGAATCAAAGTCAGTGCCAAAACAAAGAGCAATGGTAAAAGGCTAATTATTCCCTTGAAAAATTCCTCACTTTATGTTTACTTATAATATTTCACCTGCCGACGTCAACTGTACTGTTGGATTGCAATCCAGGAGTGCAGCACCATGTCATACACTTTCCTGTAGTCAATTAGCAAAGTTTTGTCAGTCTTCTACAATTACAAAATACCATATTTCAACTGGTCTTTAGTCCCTCTTCTCTCTACTTTTGGCTCTTAAGGTAACATTACTATTATTAATTATATAACCAAAACTACAGCACCACCCCATGTGTTAAATTACATAGAATTATTTTTTTGTTAATTGAATCTACAAATACAAGTTACCTGCTTGTTATTTTTCATAGTAGTAGAGGCCGTACTCATTTGATTTGATCTGTTTGGTTTTCTTTATAAAAATTATATTTATTTGGGGAGAACATTGAAGGTTTTTGCAGTTGTTCAAAAATTACGATCAACTTCAGGTTTTCTATATTTTTTAAGCAGTTTTCCCAGTTTTTTTATCCAAACGATCTTAATTTTTTGAATTATTTATATTCTTTCTTTATTCTGAAATACACTTTCAAAACAATGTACTGGTTTTCTAAAGTAGTTCATTTAGATAATAGTAACAAAATATGCAATTTAAAAAAATTTAAGTTAAGAATAAAATTTCAAAGTAGAAACTTTATTTTAAAGTTCAGTAAATTTAAAACATGCAATCAATAAAAGTAACTTAATATACGTAAACAGGAGATTACTTTAGAATCTTCAGTTTAGAATTACAAAAGTAATTACAAAACCAATGTAAACTTCATACAAATACAGTTAACTAGGTAGTAATTACAGTTAACTAGGTAGTAAAAATTATATATATACAAGCAAATGTAACTTCATCCTGTTTGGGACCCCACAGAAGTTAAAATGTATTGATACCACTCCTTTTAAAATTTTTCTCGATAATTATGACATACCCTCTGTTCAGTCAGCCAAGTTCTTATGTGTTCATCTTGACAGTGGCCTTACATGGAAAAAACATATCCACGAAATAGAGAACAAAATTTCAAAAGGCCTTGGTATTATTTTTAGATTATCCCCATTTGTACCCCTAATACTCTTCGTATTCTTTACTGCTCATTAATCCTTCCTTATTTGAGCTACTGCAACATTGTTTGGGGCAATACTTATTTATCCAATATTAACAGACTTCAATTCTCCAAAAAAAAGCTATTTAGAATTATATCTGGCGCTCCACCACGGTCTCATTCCTCTCCCCTATTCTCCAATTTAAACCTTCTCAAACTCCCTGATATTAACTATATTCAACAAGGTACTTTCTTATACACTGCCATTAATTCTATTCTCCCTAACCATCTATGTAATATGTTTACCCTCAATCACTCCATTCACAATTATCATACTCGATCCAGAAATGATATTCACATACCTAATCATAACACCAACTATTTTCAACACAATATTAGATACACTGGTCCTATACTCTGGAATAATTTACCATCCTCAATTATGAACTCAGTTTCCGTGAGGTCTTTTACCATTAAACTCAGGAATCACCTTGTTTCGCAATACAAAAATTAATTTGATCGTGACTCGTCTTGCTTGTGTGTGTTTGTGTTGTGTGTTGGTTTGTTTGTTTGGTTTTTTTTTTGGGTCTCTGTGTGCCCTTGTGATTTTGTGTTCAGGCCTGCCCAATACAAGATTTTTTTTAAATGAATCTTCTCGGGCAAGTGCCTTCTATTTTCTGATTTTGTTTCATAAACCCATCGTTTTTTAATGATCTCTGTTTTACAATTGCAAATGGAAGAAAATAAATGTATTTTTGAATTGAATTGAATTGAATAAAATGTAAAAAAATAGGAGATAGAAAATTAATACAACCATTGTATAAGGTAAAAGAAAAATTTCAATGTAAACTTTGCTGTAAGGTAAAAGAAGATTTTGATAAATATAAATAATTTTGAAAATAATGTTTTTGAATTTTGAAGTTGTCATATCTTGGAGGTCAGTTTTCATATTATTAGGTGGAGAGTTCCATCATGTGGTTGATCTGTAATTAAATGTTCTTTTACTTTGTGAAATATTCCATTTAAGTACAAAATAAAATGGTTTGATTTATTCAAAATCTTGGCCCATGTTCCCATATAGGTCAAAAGGAGCTTTCAGAAATTTGGCTCTTAGTGTGAAGGATGGGGAACTTATATTCATCTTTTCCAAGCATTATAGGTATTTCATAACAAATGTCCATCTGATGATTGTAGCAGAACACTTTATTAACTCTCGGATAGCCAATACAAAACCAGGGGAAGCTTTCATAATTTCCAAGTCCCCATAGTTAAAAGGGTGCCCTCGACCTGTTTTTATTTTATTTGTATTAAAGAATGGAACCATCTTCCAAAGGATGTTAGGAAATGTAATAACCTGAGAAATTTTAAACATGCTTGTAAAAATCATCTTAAACTGACTGCTTTAAACCTTTTATTATTATTCTTTCAAAGTTTTAAAGAATGGGTTTAATTATTTGTATTTTATATTTGTAAGGACTCCTCTGGAAATATGATTGCTTTATGACATCTTTTGTTGGTTATCCTTGGTTCCACAGTTTTTCATGTTTCTTTTTTAATGTTATCAAATTAGTGCTTTTCTCCTCTTTGTATTGGCTGCTAGCTTGGCAATTTTTCACAGGGAGTGATGCACTGTCAATTCTGTCATTGGTACTATCAAACTTCAATGCATATGGAATTAAGATACTTTACAAAAATTTGCTTATTCCTCCATTTAATTTATTTTATTCAAAACTAGTAAAGGAAGTGATGTTATTTATGTATTTTTTCTTTTAAGATCTACAGAGCAGATTAGCTCTAGTTGAAGACGAAATTATGAAATTGAAAAATGTGAATCAGGGATTAAAAGCGTGAGTACCCCATAATTTATTTGTTTTAAAAACTACAAGTTGTAATACTTTACTGTGGTATCTGACCAAATTTCTGGAGCCACCAGTGGCATGTGTATAATTTTAGATTATTATTAATTTATTTATTTCCTTTAGGTCTACATATTATAATCTTAATTAAACTTTATTTATATAAATATGCTTATAAGGCATTTTATCTAGTAGGCATATTCAATTTATTTTTCGCATCGTGTTGGAAATTCTCATTGTCGCATTTCTGGCCAGCCACTTCATACATATGCAGTCACAGTAAGAGAGTGCTCCATCATGAATTTTATGCCGTTTTTAATGTTTCACTGCTTTTGATTGACTTTCGGCAAACTGGGTTTCGGCATACTAGGTTTCAGCAAAATGAGATTCATGGTTTTTGAGTCGTCATGCTGGCATTCAGCAAAATGGGTTTTGGCAAAGTGGACTTGGCAATCTGGCAATCGGCAAACCGGGTTTCGACAATCTGGCCTAGATCCTTTACTGTAGCATGTTATTTTTGTAATTAAATAACATTATTATTTTGCTTCATAACCACATATTTTAAGTTGTAGTGGGCAGCTGCTACTAGACACTCATATTCTGCTCTTTTCTTGTATGGTCCAATCAATGGTATATAGTAATTGTCATGGAGCCCCACATGCAGTCGATTTCATTTACTGTAGTGCCCTAAAAAATTGCGAGTTAAAAAGAAAAAAAAAAATTTGTTTAATTTGCTTAGATTTAGGACATTTTATACGGGATTAGTTTTAGGGTCTCTTCTGCTGGAAAGTATTGTCAAGACTACATAGTGGAGTCAACGTGGCTACGTAATAATTGCCACTGGATTGGAAGACCTAAGATAAAGTATAAAATTCATGTAGTTAACAAGCCTATGTTTACATATATCTTGCACAGCAGTGGAATTATACCAAATTTGTGGAAGACAGTAAACCTTTGCCAATACCTAAACAGGCTAAGATAATTAATTACTTCCTTCCAGTGGCCTCAAATTATTCAAACATGAAAAGTTTGATTAAAATCCTAATGAAATTACTGCAAGTCCTAGAAAGGTAAAAACATTTGGCACATGATCGACAAAACAAACACCTTGTGTACTTTGCTGAGTAGATAAAAATTCAAACAATCTATCACAGCCACTCATATTCAACTTGACTGTAGAAATACAATAGGGAGACACAGACATTTTCAAACATATCTGCTTTTATAGCATTATTTAGACCCCGGAAAGTACAAAAATCCTCATGTTTTGTGGGTTTCGTCGACCCCACCGGGGCTTTGACTGTGGACCTCACGCCCAGAAACCCCCCCCCCCTTTGAAAGAACCTGACTACGGGCCTGCTTGAGTGGTTGCCACCTCAAAAGCTGGGAGCTACAGTATTATAACTTTATTGAAGGAAAGTGTTGATTCTTTTATATACTTTGATGACCTTTGACCTTTGGCTTACTTGAATCATAAACACAGTGATACCATATCTTTAAAAGTTTATAAAGGGATTGGTATCATCTGATATTTTACACCTCAACTTAAACTCAAGATTTTCACCTATACTGTACTTTAGTTTTACCTTTATTATTGTTCTTGTGTATGGTCTAACTGCTCCACTACGTTATGTAATAGCCTTCAAGTTCTTTTGAATACCGTAGGAAGAATTTCATTTTACTTCCATGTGATATAAAAACACCAATCAATGATATTTCATGTTTGTTACACTTGCAAACTCTGAATAATAGTTGGAGCATTCAATTATTAATCTTAACATTTAAATGCCTTCAAGGACCTGCACCATCCTACTTAATTAATATGTTTTTTCTTCCAAATGCAGGTTTTGACATGCTGTTAACAATATTATTTTTGTGACACCATTAACAGCATTGTACCTAACATTAATTTTTGTTTCTTGTAGTCCTGATTTCTTATCGATTGGAGAACATCGACCAGACAAAATCAATGTCAGGAAATCTAGCTCCGATTTGGATAAAGCAAGACATGATCACTTGGTAAGAAACATAACTGTATTTTATAATACAACTTATGTATTTCATGATTTCAATCTAAGCACCTTTGGTTTTGTTTGTTGTGAAACACACAAAGTATATCTCTAACAAAATCTGAATATTTTTCCAGTGGGCTTCTGGCGATGAATTGAGCAGTCCATTGGGGGAGGATTGTACTGCATACTTTTACGTGCACATATAAATATAAAAAATAAATATATGAATTTAATATCACTACTACAATGTGGTCTGTAGTTGAGCGTACAGTGGCTACCACCAGTTTATTTGACAGGTTGAGCTATATGCTGCATCGATTTTTACCATGCACAATAACATTAGTTCGATCTACATACAGTATGCAATGGCAATGTAAATAAGGAATATTTATATTAAATTTTAATAAAATTTAATTTACATTTATTGCAACCAATTCATTGAAAAGTGAAGTCTACAAAAGTGATACCAAATTACCATAATTTATATTCTAAAAATTCATAAAACGTTGTTTTTACAGAGGCAAAGAATACCGTCAGTTCCGCCTCCAAGTTTTAAGACAGTAATGAAGGCTCAGACAAAGTCAAATTTGATCAAATCTAAATCCCATGTAGCCACCTTGACGAAGCCCACACTTGTTCCAAGACAAAACAAATCAAAGTCTTTCCTCGCAAGCAGTCATGGAAACTGTAAGATGTCTGAGAAGAAGAAGAACATCAAAATAAAAGGAAAACTTGAAAGATCACAGAGGATCCAAGAAAAATTAGACCGATTTGAAAGTACCCAAGATCAACCAAAGAACAAACAAGACAAGAAATCTAAAAATAAAAAGGATAAAAATGGAAAATGTAATAAAATCACCAGTACGACATCAAAAAGTCATTCACAAATACCAGTCAAATCAAAGGGATTTCTTGACAAATTTCTGTCCAAATCACAAGACCATGAAGACAGGGGTAAAGCAAAACAATTTCTGAAGAATACTAGTTTGGATCTTCCAGATTTAGAGTTTCTGTTTACAGATTCAGAAAAGAAGCCGATACCATTGCACACTAAACCTTCAATAGGTAAGAGAACAAAAGTTATGATTAAAACATACAGTAGTGTTAAATTAAATTTTCTTCTATAATTTTTGTTTGCAGAAGCAAAGTGGGATAATTAGTGACACTACTATTATTTTTTTGTTCAGATGTGGGTGAAATGAAAACATATTTATCAAGCCTTTACCTGTACATAATATATCTCATTCTTGAGTTGTGAAATTTGAAAATTTAGGTGGAATATATATGGAGGGTAAAGAGTGAATAATGACCACATTCCATTTCAAGCTCTCAAACATGTATTGAAGCATTTAATAATATCCTATACAACTTGGAAATAACATAGTGTCTATGTATTTTCCATATCCAATCAAAGTCATCAGCAGTTTTGAAAGTGGCAGTGATTGGTCTTCAAGTGAAGAGGAGCAATGGGTAGATGAGCTCAGCAAGTCTGGCGAATTCAACTCATCACAGAAAATAAACAGTGATGACATGAGGTTTGTCTCAATATACAGATAGCAAATATACTTCCTTGGTATTTTTTCTTCCATTTTCTTTTTATTTTTTTTATTTATTATACTTTATTTTGTGAAAGTAGTCCTTCACTACAACAGACCTTCCTCAAAGAACACCATTTATTTCTCAATTCTAATCAGGAACAATACAATAATATTGATTTTTTGTTTATCTTATCTTTTATTTAACACAAGTTAATTTATTCAGCTGTGGCACTTACAAATTACAGAATGAAACATAAAATATAAACTTATATGTAAACATGAACAAATACCAAATGCCAGGGATTATCAATGAATACAATACTGATGCACATAATATATAACCATACTTACATACTCATATCTTATAAATGCTTAAATAAAGAAAAATGAAGAGGCCAATAAGGCTGATGTGTAGGCTATAATTGTGATGTACTCATAGTTATGGTTATTGATGCAGATAACAAGTCATATAAGGATGATTTCTTGAGGTGGGGGGCATCTAATTGTTTACAAAAGGGCACAGTGAGTCCACACTCGCTTATTTTAAAGGTATAACACCTCAGATTTCGAGAAATGGTACTCCAATACATTAAAAATTCTAAAGTTCAAATGATGTTTGGAGTTAATTTCAACAACTTCCATGCAAATGACACTTTCTGCTAATAATTTATAAGTGCTTTTCTGGAAAATGTAGATAGTAAAATAGCAGAGAGCACTGCTTCCATCACAATAGTAAAGTTACATAGAGTTGCTTGTGATGGATTGTCACGGTAGGGAAACAAAATTAATATTGTAACTTGTATTCTGCAGAATGTCTTCTTAAAACTCATTATTTTGTCACAATGTGTTGCTTCAATCATCATTTTGAGAATAATGTGGGATAATGTTTGCAGTGCAACTTTCAATTGTAAATGTATGGTAGACACCCAAAATCATTACATTATTTTTTGTTAGTACTGATTTAATCAGAAATTTAATCAGCAATTCTTTTAAAAACCATATGCAATGCTAAAACTATTTATTACCATACTTCTTCAGATATAAGCTTCCCTCCTACTTTATTCCTTATTCTATGTACCAGCCTTTCCTAAGGAAAAAGTGGTTATTGACTTTGAATTAGGCATACAGTGCCAAAAAAGTGCAATTTGATTAAAAAGGGGATTCCATAGGTGTAAGCCTATCCCCAAATGGGGATTCCTTGAGTATAAGCCCACCCCCCCCCCCCCCCCCCCCCAAAAAAAAAAAAAAAAAAAAAAAAATTGGCCCAATTTTGTGTCTAAGGGGGTTGGCTTCACCAGTGGAACAATGGTATTTCCATTTACAAATTACAGAAACAACTTTACAAGATGAAGTTTTAACTCAAACACATCTACACAAATGCTATATGTAGGTACAATCAGTGAAAGGAGGCTATGTTTGGAGAACTGAGCACAATGCTTTTTTAAGATACTGTACATCTACAGTAAGTTTAATTAGTAGTTTCCGAAATAACATATTATTGACTAAATCTCTAAAGTTATAATTTTTATACCATTTATACAATTTTCAGTATCATGGAAGTTTTAATTTAATTGCCATTCCATAAAAATAATTTCTTTTTCTTATCCAATAAGAAATTCAGAATATTAAAATTTATTTTTATTACCTCAACGTAAACAGTATATCTTTAAAACTATCTCTATAAAGAAAATTATTTTCATTCTTTTAAGAATGAAAATGATTTACTTTATAGAAATGTGTCTTAAAAGACATCTCCAAAGAAACTGACCACAAAAATTTTGTGCCATATAGCAGAGAAGCTATTATTTATTATGCCAAAAGAACAATTATATTTAACGCCTTTTGGAGTCCTAAGGAGGTCAGCTTTACCCACCATAACCAATGTACATACAGTGTAATACTAAAAATATAGACATAAAAAAAACATTGACATATAAAGCTTAGTGTGACCATTTTGGAACATCCCCTCAGAATATATTACCTAACAGCCTGCAATTCTACTTTTGTGGTGTTGATGATTCACTGTGAATTCTTACTCATTGCAGATACAGACATCAGACACCACCACCTATTGCTCCTAAGCCTGGCCGTTTCAATGAGGCATCGCAGGTAAGCCTGCCGTCTCAGTCAAGAGGACGCTCACCATCACCCTGTAAACCACTTCCTCAAATTCCCATTTCACAACGAAGGACACCCCCAACAAGACCAACTTCTCCAAATTGTCGTGCTTCATCGCCCTTCATGCAGTCCCATCAATCATGGAAAATGGACAAGCTCAACAGCCGGACGAGTGCTCCGCATCAAGGGGAAGGTGCATACTGTTTCGATGAAGTGAGTGCAAACTTTTTCTAAATACCTGTCAACATTTTCTATCCTTGAAAAATTGGGACAGTCAGGGTTGAATCCAGCGAATTGTTGCTTTGTATTTGTTGTAAAAAAAATTCCATCAAAATAGTTAATTGCACAAATTGAGGAGTACAATTAAATTACAAATTAGTGCACAAACACAAAAAAAAATAATACAAATCCACAAATACAACTTTGGTGAGTTGATAAAGCAGGGACATTGCTTACTACAGCCTTAACATCGGTGTTGGTTTTTAGCCACTTTTCGTCCAGAGTTCGGTTGGTAGAACCAAATCTTCTAATAAAGACTTAAAATTGGTGGTCCAGTGTACATATCTGGCTTGTGTGCACTATAAAGAACCCATTGCATCTTTCAGAAGAGTAGGGAGTTACCCTGATGCTATGGCTTATTCAGCGCTGTCATGTGGCATGATGTGAACCTGAGACAACTGGTTCTCTGTGTGAACATAAAGGTACAGAGCGCCACTCTACCGCTGCTAAAGTAGCCACAGACCATGCCCATGTGCAATTCAGTGCAATGATACTGCAAGTTACGGGTTATTCTCCTACCTTTAACTTTACCTTAGGATGTTGCTAAGACAAACACGTCACTGAAGTGCTAGTGGCATGTTCATCAATAACAAAACATATCATTATTTGAGTATATTTTGACAAAGAGACGAAAAAAATAAAAAGCAAACTCAAATTGGCATTTAAAAAATGTTTAATGGAAATGAATTGTCAATCACACGTCATGCACTTATTTTATATACTGTAATTGAGATGAATAAAAAGTAACTGTGGGATGGGTCCACATAAGATTTTAGGTCTAAAATGAGTCCCAATTTTGTGCTTGAGATTGGGCCCAATGAAGTCCAAGATGGAATTAATGAGCCGCAAGGGGCCTCATGTCAGGGTAAAGGGACAGAATTAAGCCCAGGCAAAGATCAGCGATAAAGTTGTTACATTAGAGGAATATTTTTATTGTTTTTTAGACAGAGTATAAACCACAGCTTACTGGGTACCAGCGAGCTAAGGGACCAGCGGGAAGAAGACGTCCAAACAGCAAGGGAAACCAGACTAACAACCCTCAAAATTCTGGACATCGCCATATGAATGGGATAATATAAACAAAACAATCAGGCAATGTGTGTGTGTCATGCTTAATTTACATACAAAGCAGTAAATTGTATATATGGAATTAAATTTGTATTAAACTGAAATTATGACTTAAAAAATTCATATGAATTTTATATTAATTTGTTTTCCACTAATAGTTACTTATGCTAATTATGTCAAGGTAAACTATAGATATAGTGAATACTTTCAAAATTATATAGCACACCATCTGACAGGGAAGTATGCAAGTTCATTTTAATTTAGTTGATTAATGTAAAACTTTCTCCATTAGTTAGATACATTCAAGAATTCATAATGGTAGTAGAATTATTTCATGTTTAAATGGGCCACATAGTTATCACAATTTGATCGCATCTACAATTTTGAAAAATGCACCAGGATTATAGTATTTCTTTAAAAAGAATTTATCTTAAATTGTCTCCTGTAGACAATAATTAGCACGTCTACTGTGGGAATTTTGTCGTATTTTGTGTATTAATCATGTTCTACTATTCCCATACATAAGAATATTGGTACTTAAACAAAATTATTAGGCATTGAACAGTTGGATTATTTGGAATGTAAATTTCAGCATCACTACTTATAAATTTGTGCCATTATAAATTCCAGAAAAAAAGATACGTTTTACAAAGTTCTTTGTTTTCCCGGGTCATTGGGTCCACATGCAAGTGTTGCTGCCATATTGGCGCAATATCCGGCAACCCCACCAGGTACCCATTTATACTCTCTTAAAGTGCCTTGCTCAAGAACACAAGCGAAATGCATAGTGAGGGATTGAAACCCCGACCTTGAGGATTGGGAAACCAAGCCGTTCCTGCTGTGCTAAGCTGCTCCCGAATCCTCCTCTTCCTGTATTACATGTTTGGAACAGGTTTACATCTATGCATGATTCCAGGTTACCCATTACCCATTAGCCACTGTTCCACCAGCCATCCCAGGGGCAGATCCATAATTTTGTAACAGGCCTAGATGTAATATATGTGTTCAGTATGCTGTTAAAAATATTGTAAAATTGTATGCAGGTGCAGATCCTGGGGGTGGGGGGCATTTGAAGCGGAAAAATAAAAAAGAGGGTGACAAATTTGAGTTAAAGAGAGGTAGAGCTAAAAAGTGAGTGCACCCATGAGTTCAGTGGCAATACAGCAGTGGGCGAAAGGAGAGCTCGATTATTTACCACTTATTGGTAGGGCTGAGGTGGGCGTGGTGGCGTGAACATTCAATAAAATGTCAAATTATATGAAAGCGAAGTTAAAATGTGGGAAACAATACTTCCCATAAGCAGCCACACAGGCACGTCAGCCACCATACAATCATCGACCATGTTTCAATTTAAGGTGTTAGAGTGTAAAAATGATTAAAAATTAAGCCAGTTAAAAATCATGGTCAATGTTTTTGTACATAGTATACATACAATATATTTGGGATAGACATGCCAATATGTGGGTTTGTATGAGTCTTGTTATAAAAAGGTACTGTATGTAAGAGTAGAATTTAGGATAGAAAGCAGGAATTGCATAGATAAGTTGAAATACTGTACTACGTTTAGATTAAAATGAATCAAATATATAAATTCAATCAAAATTATATATTAAATCCTGAGAATTTCCCACTTTTAGACCATGTTTGTTTACATATCATAGATCCATGCTATTTTTGTATGATCATATACTCCATTTTTCTTTGTAACTGTATTTTGTTAATCTACAAGAAAGCATTATGTATTTATTTTATTGTTCTAGTCCTTCATGCAGTGGTGGACCATCAAGGGTTGCAAGGTATGCATTGCATACCCTACTAAAACTAAAAAAAAAAAAAATGTTTACCTTTTGTCAGATTTATTTAGCATTTCTTAGCCACAATTTTCTATACCAACCTTAATTTTTCGAGTTGATTGCTACATTTCATTGAGATGGCCAAGTTAATACTGTATAAGTTTTTCAATCATTGGGCCTACTTTTGGAGTATTTACTGATAGTACAGCAGTACCATATTTTTATACCTCCATGGTAGTACAGTACAGTGCAATACGATATTATTGAGCCTATTGCATCCTACACTCAGTTGCTTAGAATTTCCGCATGGTTGGTTACGAATACCAGCCAATTGCCTATTCAGTGAGTCATTGGAAGCATACCTTATAATGGTTAAATTTACTATTCTTCCAACCATGTGGTGGCAAAGCTGGATTGGAAGCACTGCTTCCAAGAGTATGTGCACATGCTCCTCTTCTCACTACTTTTCTACACTATTAGCCTAATCGAGGCCTCCACTGTATTGCTCAACAATTAATCTCAATGATTAAAGTTAATAATAACATAATAATAAATTTGTAATCATACAACCGGTATTATTTCAATTGTATTTTGTTAAACGTACAGGAATAGGAATTCTTCTGAAGAGAAGAAACTACAAGCATGCCGGTGTAAAAAAGAGCATTGTATTTATACTATATAGAACGCAGTCTTTGATTATAGGCTAATCAAACTTTTCACACTAGCATACTGTATACCCTTCTATTTACACTACGGTCCACCACTGCTTTCATGCTTTGTATATATATTTTTTGTTTTAAGGGCTTCTTTAAGAAATTTGAATACAATGAATATAACTGGTTTCAGCCTTCGGGGTGGGGGTGTGAAAATTGAGTGCAGAACTAAATCCCTATTCCAATGAAAACCTAATGGTAATTTAAATTACAATTAACATCTCGACGAGATTTGATTGACAGATAAACCGACTAATCAGCGAGCATCATTTAGTCACATGATCAAAAACTTGTTCTCTGACATTTTAATTTCCTTAGACAGCTGGTTGTCAACACAAAACATACGTGAGCCTAGGCCTAGATGTCTATAATGCTTGGTTGTTATATATACCCAGATTTACACGAGCGCAGTGCGCATCAGTGACTTGGCCTTTGCTGACGAGGTTGACTGAATGCGGCTTTTCCCTCTTCCTTTGGGAAGAGGCTTTTACAACATTTTCCCCGCCTGTTCCATGAAATAGATTAACACTATGAATATATGATTCTTTTGCATACCGCCTACCCTGAATTCTCTTAAAGAGGTTGATAGCAAAGAAAATGTTCACCAACTCGGTAAGTCTAGCCGCCATTGTCTAAGGTTTTCGTGACTTTGTGGGCGGGGCTTCGTGTCCTTGTCGACATGTCAATTCACTGTCTTCTACCAGAAATTGTCAGAACCCCGACAGTATATCTTGTAGCCAGATGTCAGTATCCATGTGCAATGATCAGGTACAGCATCTGCAAAAGATTAGCTCCATGTGGCACAGGTGTTTATTTTACCCCTCCCCCCCCCCCCTATAAACATTAGGGTTGATGATAGAGACTGGAGATTTAGGAGATAAACAAATTGTAAACAATAAATTAGAGAAATGGTTAAAAAAATTGATCCCTTTTTATTTGCTCTAATCAATGATTAAGACTGCTAATTTCTTAATTTTTGACATTGTACACATTTTCTTAAATTGGATCTAAACAAATCTTGATTTTGATATCTGAAGCATAATCCAGCTGGTGCCCTGTACAAACTTCATTTATTAAATTTGAAGAATATAAAATTCCAGGTATTTAGATTTGAATTGAAAAATTTGCCTAAAAAAAATTCCTATTTTCTTTGTTTTATATTCCGTTCCACATTTGAGCTGTCGTGACAAATGAGTCTTCTACAAAAAATGAGGTATTGGTATATTTAGATAGGCTGTATTTTATATACAACCGGAGTAAAATCGTTTTCAAGTTCTGAAGTCTTTGAAAACATACTTTAGAGGAAATTGCCAATAAAGATGATAAACTGATAAATTGTGTTGGTTTCCCTATCAATGAGCTTTACAAAATGTGCCTCAAATACACTAATGTAAATCAACTCATTGTAACTCAATGTTTGTCAAAATATCACTTCATAAATTGGCCAGGCGTACAACAAGACTCATTTTGTCATGACACCTCACCTCACCAAATGACCATCTTCTTTTTGGTGGATCACAAACCATTGTTGAAATAACAAACTATCATAAAATATAAGTATGAAACATTAAAATCAGCATTTATAATGACCTTGGCCTATTTTGGTGAAGATCTCACCAAAGATGCATCTAATTTTATGTCTGACACTTCCAGATATCCGAAATGCTTCCAGATATCGGGAAAATATAAATAAAACATTTTAGTATTTAAAATTTTATTTCAGAATTAAGATCAACAGTATATTTTAAAGAAAATCTTATTCAACAGTGAATGAATCTATAGATGTTAATTCATTAGTAATAACCTTATTTATTACTGTGACATGACTTCAGAATACTCAAGATCATCTTGATTAAAATTCACCATCAATGAATCAGTTATTCATAATATATGATAGGCCTACACTTCATTATTGTGGCTACTGAAAATGTTGATGGCACAGCCTGAAGTCAATCATGGAGTAATGCTCATTAATTGCATGGACACAGACTATCAATTCTTATTTAATTCATTAAAGTCATGTCCTTAATTAAAATGTGGGTTGATTTTGTATTTTGTGTAATTAATATAATGATGAGATCTTACAGAAATTAAATTCTTGTACACTTTGAAAAGAGCAAGTGAAATATAATGAAAAACTGAGACAGTGAAGTTGATTGACCATTGCTTTTTATAGAATTGATAATCATCCAGTATCTCTCGATTTAGAAAGTAAACACTATTATTACGTGTTCAACCCAACTAAATACAATATCTGTAATCTCTTACACACTAGCATTTTCATTGCAGCAAAATGAAACAAAATCAAATAAATAAATGGACAAAACCTTACAATTATACAGTATAAAGATTGTACTGTAGATCTTAAAAATAGCAAGATTAAAATATTACCCAGGGCATTGATACTGAGACATTTGGTATTGTATAAAATACAGATCTTTAATCAATTTATACAATATTCATCAGAGTGTGTTTCTACTGAAAATTGAGATAGAAATTGTTCTTTTATCAGTATAAGGACAGCGTTGCAACTGCATTATGACTCGATATGGAATAGTTTTTTTGGGTGGATGATATGGTACAAGATAATTAATCAAAATGCATTGAGGATTTTGCATAGCACAATCTTCAAGAATTTTATCCGGCATCTGTGATTTCGTCACAATATATTGCCACTTTTTATTTTTTTCTACAGGCTTTCTCTTCTCTCCAAAATTGTTTCCATCCACATCTAGGATCCAAAATAAGAACGGGTTTTGAATAGCTGAACAAAAACTCCTGACAGTTTGTCCTAAGGGTTGACCTAGATCAACCTTTTATTAAAGAAAAAAGAATGCAAACTTGGCATGATGCACCCAAAATTGATTGCATACCAAAAAACGCTTTTTGAACATGATAAAAGAATTTAGATTTTTATAGGACTATTTCTACTGCTACAAAAAAAAAAAAAAAAAAAAAAAAAAAAAAAAAAAATCTTTTTTTTTTTTATAGAAATCATCCTTCCTCCAATTGATTTTCAGTAGAAACACCTATAAATTATTAAAACATGATACAATATTATTGATAAATTCTACACCTAACTAGAGTTATCTTCAAAGAAATTTAAAATTCCACAATATGAATAAAGATTGTCGGTATTTATATAATATTTGTTATCATCTGATATTCAACCATGTATTTTGTTTTCCTTTTCTCTATTTTACCTAAACAGAGCTACACAAATTTAAACATCTTTTTTTACACATTCTTTCTTGTACAAATAATTAAAACATCACAACGTTCACAGCCAAATTCTCTTTAAATTTTGTCCATGTGCCAAAATAATACATCTAAAATCAGTGGCGGACCGTCAAGGCAAGCAAGGTATGCTCTGCATACCCAAGCTAAAACCCCTAAGACAATATTTGATTCTGCCATTTCTTTGTTTTATATAGCATTTCTAGGTCAAAATCTTCTACATCAACCATAATTTTTCGAATTGATTGCTACATTTGTCTAAGTTTAATTAGTTTTTCAATTTTTAGGCATTTTGGTATCTAAGAGATAGCAGGCCTATCTGTACTCAGCTGCTTAAATTTCCTGCATGGATGGTTTACAATAAATGCCTATGAGTCAGTAGAAGTGGGAACATACCCTACAAACTATGTGGTGGCATTAGAATAGCAAATTTAACACTGGTTTGGAAGCAGTGCTTTCACAAGTATGTGCGCATGCTCCTCTTCTCACTGCTTCGGGCCTCCGCTGCCGAATGAATAATTTGTATTGCCCGAAATTCTAAAATCTCAATGATTAAAGTTAAAAAAAATCTGAACAGATGACCGGTATAGAAGAAACTTATATAAATTAAACGCCTTAGTTTCACTGTAAATGAAGAACTACAACACATAATTACCGTCTAAATGTGTTATTGCGTGATCATAAAGACTACCAACCAGGTTAAAAAAATGTAATTCTACTGGTGTAGAACATTAATAGAATGTGTTGAGAATGATATTGCTTCCATTAGTTTTGTTTACAATCATTTAGGGGGCATTTACTCGAGGAAAAAACTCCCCACAGTTTTTATTCGAGGGCATTTATTCACATAAATACGGTATTTGTAAATTTTACTTTATAGAACGCAGTTCGACTGTGGGCTAATAAATGGACCTTTTAACACCATCAGTCCCTAGCATACCCTACTTTTTACCCAACGGTCTGTCACTGTCTAAAAATGAAAGAATTCTTGAAATCTTATTCTGTGAGTCATGATATAAGTTCTATTTGGTAATATCTATCCAAAAGGATGAGAAATGGCATAAAAATAAAAGTCCTTGCGACAACACCCCATCATTTTAAAAACCTACCAAGAGCTCAAAATGGTTGTCAACTGTATATACATCATAAAACTTTATACACCTCTATTTAATCCTTGTCACGGAGGCCACAAGACCTGAGTAACAGGCAGTCAAATGACTCTTGATCGAAAGACAAAAGTCTTTTCATGGAATAGAGCAATCATTCCCATAATGGTTTGCAGGTAGGATGTTCATTCTGGTAGCTTGAAAGCTAATGCAGCAAAATACATCAACTCAGCATGTACTGTGAAAATATCTTCTGAATCTTATTCTCAAAAGCACAACAATGATTCACCAGACATTAACCATTTACATCCCAGATTTCAGTCAGCAGCGGGGGAATTTTCTGATCGGCTAGTTTCAGCTGGAACAACAGCTCAGAGTGACTGTTGTTTAATGTCCTAAGTTCTGTTAATTTCATCAATACCTTTGGTAATAATAATGTTTCTTTCGGCCTTCGAATACGCAAATATGATCTTAAAATTTCCAGATAACCTTCTTGAACCTCGTCAACTTTTTCCTTGTCCTGTACAGATGGTCGATCTATTGGGATAAAAATTTCAAAATATAAATAAAAATAAATAAATATAGTCTTATACTGTATATATTTTTGGAAAATGTTAAACAATTAAAAACTAAGAACTTTAAAAACTAAGAACTACTAAAACATGAATTTCCATTGCTACATTATGTGTGAATGTAACTTTATCTAAGGATTGAAGAACTCATCTAGATTTGGCTATTTCAAATGCAATATGTGTGCCTCTACTACAATTCTAAAAGTATAGAAAACCAAATACAGTATGATGAAATAAAATAAGTTAAATATAGCATGTCAGTTTGTGCTTTACATTTATGCCAGTTTATTTTGCATAGGACAAGCAAGTCCCTCATGGTAAGGCTTCAAGTGGCAAGTGGTAATTTTCTGTTTTGATTATTATTATGTTCGAATTCATTCTTTATATTGCATTAAGATAATTGGTTCTAAAGATCTGTGAATGAGAAGGGAAAAAAAATAACAAAATTACCTAACTACAGTAATAGATTCAAGTTTTAAAATGACGTTGAAATCACAATAAACATAGAAAATATTGATGTTACAGGGGTTCCAAGTTTCCCGGAAGTCACGTTACTCTCCCAAAAATCGGTAAGGGCTCCCGCACTCAAGCAATAATCTATTGCAAATTACACAGCTTTGGTTTTTACCACTGTATTATAATAATAATAATAATGTTGTATTTATATAGCGCATATTGCACATTGCCCTATGCGCTTTACAGAGAAATAATATAGGCCAACTGAGAAAAAGCAAATAACAATAAAATAGTAACAATAAAATAAAATAAAAATAATCAATTATCAATTGTCTCCTGGAAATTGGTGCCAATGGGTATCACAATTTACAGCAAAATATAAATCAGATGTGTTATGAGTACTAAAGTACTCTATCAATATTTATTATCTACACAAAATGTTTATTTTTTTGACAACATTTACAGTATAATGCCAATACAAACACAAATGTGATTAAAATTGAAATTTGATTACACTGAACTTGACGTAGGTATAATCAAATTATGAGTAAACAGAATATTATACACTTTTTTATAACCTAGTGAATTTCTTTACTGATATTATAAATGTTTAAATCTTGCATTCTCCATGCCTGTACAGCATACTTGGTTTCAAAGCATCTAGACACACTTACTGAATAACATGACTATGATGGTTCACCCATCAACTAAGAATTTTGTTTAATAAATTGGGGGAAATTCAACCAAGTACATACCAGATGATAAAATAGCAACGGCCATTAAGAGTACATATTCAGTATAATCCAGATCTAACTCGGCCATCCCTTTTGCAAAGTCAAACATAGGATCCACCAGTTCGCCAATTCCACCATCATGAAGCTGCTTGCGTGTGTATGGCTGTTCGTTACCAAACATGATTGCATCATTTTCTGCATCATATCTCAAGGCGGTCCTCAGCAACATAATTTCGATAGCAGAGCCCTGTTACATGAGAGTAAAATAAATTATTAAAAATAGGCTCCTGATAGGAGTACGAGTCCACTACAGAAACTAGCGTTTTACAGGTAGTGTATAGTTTTTTGACAATGCGGCATCTAAGTTCATAGTCCATTATCAGACAAGGTGCTAATTAGCCATTGGTCATGTGTCAAAACGTAGGTCAAATTACCAACTCGCTGATAAAACAACATTCACACTGTACTGTACGTTGCATGCCCATCAAATGAATTGAAACCGAAAACCTTAACACATTGCATTTTACAGAAAACCTTAACTTATTCCATTTAACAGAAAACCTTAACTTATTCCATTTTACGGAAAACCTCTTCAATTTCACAGTAAATTTGACTAAAACAGCACAGAACATATCTACGCAAGCATAGTATATATTAAACAATGCATGAATAAATAAATTTTTATATACCTCATACATAGATTCATCATCTGATTGGTTAAGAAGCAGGGCAATAGAAAGTACTATTCCCCTCAAAATTATCCCCTGACCGCGTCACGGATCAGCGAGTAGACGATAAACAAATATGGAGGCTGCTCGTTTTGAGATAAAGGAGGACTAGCCTAGGCCTAGCATTACTTCTTGATGAAGCCGATAACAAAAGCACCAAAAGACAAATTAAGTACGTCTTATCAATATTCCACAAATATATTGCAAACGATGGCTGCTGTTAAAATCAAGGAAATAAGAAAAGAAGAGGTAGACACACTCTTTGATCGCCTAGGCCTAGCTAGTCGAGTAGTAGTAGTAGGCCTCTAATATAACAGGCTAGGAAGTAAGTACTTTTATAGGCCTTGTAGAATCTATGTATGAGGTATATAAAACAAATATTGACTGCTCTGTATTCGGGGTGAAATCTATTGCCCCCTGGGTGATGTGGAGACCATAGCCTATCTTCCCTCAGGCCGGCCTTCGGCCCTTGGGAAGACAGGCTACAGTCTCCACATCACCGAGGGGCAATAGATTTCACCATTCCCCCCATGAGCAGTCAATATTTGTATAATATTATACTATATTCTGTATATAAGTTAAACGAATGGATACAACCAGTGCTCAAATAGAAACATGTAAAATACGACCAATGTAAAGAATTAAATTGGAATATGAAGATATGTCTATATCAACATTTTAAAAACAATTTTAATTCATTTTCATTAAAAAGTGCGTGACTTGCGACTTATTGAAGAGTCAATTTATAAATTGAGTCTTGTCATTAGGCTTCGAGAGAGGAGTTATTCTTTTAGGCCTGAGAAAATACACTGTCGTCAATTGATCCTATGGCCTTGTATTGGAAGGCAAGTACCACCATGCTCCAAGCTACTTCAAACACCTGTAAATTAATCTGTAAACATGGTAAATTCTAAATGTGGTCATCACAAGTAAAGTTTGGTTTCGTTAAATCCTACACACTAAGCTGTTGGCAACTTTGCAGCGACTGTATGGAAACTGAATGAGATTTATATAGCGCCAATTCCAAATCAATTATTATGTTCAAATCGTAGAATGTTATTATCCCCGGTCACTGGATAAAATACAACGGCAAACTAGTACAGAGTGCAACCTTCTCTTCTCCATGAGGAGTATACCTAGTCGTGCTTGTGTACTCAGTGCAAAAACTGGTACAGTCAATGGCACAACATCCTACCAAGTATCCCTTTATGCTCCCGGGCAGGGACAAGCATAGATAAAGTGCCTTGCCCAAGGACACAAGCAACTTGAGAGGCTTTTGAACCCCCCAAACTCCCCCAGAGTGCACTTTATGACTTTTCATAACCATCAATACTGATTTTTCCATAACCTCAACATTTCATAACCCAGACATTTCTTAACTCGGAATTTATTACACTTAAGACATTTATTACATGAAGACCAAGCGTTATTACACTCAGAACTTCTATTACAAATTTAGGACCAAAGGTAATTCTCACTGGAACTTTGTAAAAATATTTGGGCAAAATGTTACTACGTTTTGGAACTATATTATATCTAGGGCCATAATATGTTTAAAAAAAACAAAAAAACATATTTTCATATTCCTTTATTCTCTTTTGTCATACAAACAACGGAAATATCTGATTGATATTCAGTAACTGTTGATGATCATCAAGCAGATTTAAGCTGATATACTTGCATAATTTGACCATACTAAAGTTGAACTAAGTTTCTGCATTTAAGATAATGAAAGCAAACTATGCAACCAATGGAATATATTTTTTACAAATTTATGTAGCTTCTGGAGACTTCCCAGACCCCTACGTGTTCTCTGGCATTTTTCCCCTCTCCTCCACTGATTAATCTCAGATAAGAAAGTATAATACATACTCCAAGTATTGAAATACATGCCATCGTGTTGGGATTCAATATTTCGACATTAATTATGTCATCATCATGTCATCCTGATGATGACATAATTAATGTCGAAATATTGAATCCCAACACGATGGCGTGTATTTCAATACTTGGAGTATGTGTTATACTTTCTTACATAAAGGCTTATTTGTGTTTTGTCTACATAGGCCCATGAAGCCATTTAGTATTAGGCTTACTAAATACACTATTTCACAGTATTGTTAATGTCAAAATATTGAATCCCAACATGATGGCATGCATTTCGATACTTGGAGTATGTATCATATTATCTTATCTGAGATTAATCAGTGGACCGACTTTCGGTTTTTCAAGATGGAAACCAAAACTAATATGGATTACAATTATAAACAAAAAAATAAAAGAACTAAATCTTCCTGGAATTGGAACAATAAAATAAAATAATTAAATCTGAGATGTGGGCAGAAAAAAAAAACTTCTAGGGCAAACACAACTTCTAGGCACGGTCGAACGTGTAGTCATGATGATGATGATATGTGAAAAGAAAAAATACAAACCTTCAAAAGGACTATCTGGTCTTCACGACTAAGTTCCAAAAATCCAGGAATCTTTTTACTAAACTCTACAATCAGCTGAATAGTGAGTATGGTGAGTTCAGTGATGTGTGCAAAGCGGGACTGCAACGCTTCTCCGTCATTTTTTTGTAAGTCACCGAGAGATGCAGGAAAATGACTTTGTTGAGCACTTTCAAGCCATGGCTGAAAAGAAAAACAAATTGTTGATCATCTGAATTACCTATTAAAAGATGATGGTGAATGCACTATTATGATGACCTTCCATCAATTTCAACATTTCCTTTCATTTCTGGTTGAACACCATCATTTTGTCATGTAAAACAGGGCAGCCACTTCGATATCTTCACAGGTTATATTTATAAATCTAAACTAAAAAGAGCAATGATAAGTCTTTAAAGGTTTTAACAGCTTTTGAAAAATCTTCATAAAGAAAATCAAAATATTGGGAATGTTAAAGTTTTTCCATGGTAACAAGAACTGATGCACACACATGCAAGGACAATGTAATAGGAAGTTAAATGTAATAAAAGCAACCTTGGAAAATATTTTACTCCATGTTCATATAATATGACCATATTAAATTTGAACGCAAGTTTCTATAATTTAAACAATTATGCAAAATATGCAATCAAATATTAATAAATTGTGTAGGTTGCGATGAATGGACCTTCAATAAACTTACATGCATAATTAAGGCTTGTAAAAACAGTGATGATGCAATATATTCTTCATACCTAATTTTGTCTATATATCTGAAGAACTTACCATCACCCTAATCAATATACTTTAATAAATTTTTATATTTCTCCAATTGTTGAAATTTAATGCAATTCAATATAATATATTCACTATTACATTAAATAATATTGATCATAACTGACGATAATAAAGACATCACTGTACTCATCTTCTATGGTCTTAGAAAGCTGATCAACTGTGATTTATTATGAAATCTTGCTGAACGACATGAAAGCTGTTTTTTCTACTCCTTATTTATTAATGTGCATGTTTCAACTATTTTGTATGTGTTAATATTTCTAAAATAAATAAAATGAAAGTGGTAATTCCTCACCAATCAATACTTTAAATAGACAACCTTAGTTTAAATGATATTATATAAATTCAACATTTCTGCTCTCAATCAATATGGGATGGAATGACATTGTTATGGATATATATATATATATATATACATTATATATACATATTATGCATATAGTATATCAATTACTTATGTATATAATATAATATAATATATATGCATATACAACACATATATTATAATAAATAAATCTACCAGGTGTTTCATTCAATTAGCATAAAAAGGTAATTTCAAACTGGTAACATGAAACAAATGCAGTCTAATTCCTGAAAAAAGCACAGCAGATGAAATGAGCAGGCAGGAGGGCAAGGCACAATCAATGCAAGATAAACAAAAGCACAAATGAATACTTACTGATCAGGCTACCAAATATAGAGGCCAGTAGACAAAAAAAATTAGTATGCATATAAAAATAGGCATGCATGCAGACTAAGATATTAATGTTGATGAGCCTCACCTCACTTGTACCTTGGAGTTTCCCTTTCCAGTTATTGGCCTCTAACCAGGGCTGGTCGACAAAACAAAGAGTAAATTCAAGTGAAAGTGCCACAAACAGACAGAAAAGGAAGAAAAAACACAAACATAGAGGAAAAAACAGAAAATGACAGAAATTTGTTTAAAGTCCTTTAGAGCATCACATAACATAGCTTCAATTTTTGTGGATATTTATTAAAAACTAACAGAATTGAAAAGAAGAACATAAAACCAACTCCTAAAAATCAACTTAACAACATCTATGGTAATTATGCTGTGATAATTTTAAAATGCACCATGAAAATTACATCAAATGTTTTGGTTTTGGTGCTATGGAATATGGAATACTCATGCATATCAAACTGTATATTATTTTATTGTCTTTCATTTAAAAAAAAATTGGTTGCAATTTCTTTTTATCTATAATTGCAACTGATTTCATTTAATTTAAGTTGGTGAAAGTATTTTTCTTCATTCCCATTAAATTGTTCTTACTCTTGCCTTTCTTTGTCCTACAAATTTGAAGAATGCATAAATTCATAGTATTTATTTTTAACTAAATGTTAGATTTAATCTTTATAAGAGGCCATACAACAAAAAGGCACAAAACAAATAAAATTAAATTTTTGTTTTCAATTGCAAGTTAATTTGAATTTCATTTTTCGTTAGCAAAACACAGACATCTTTAATATTAATGAAATAATAGTCAAATGCTAGTTGTATAAAGAAGGCAGAAAATACTTTTTGGATCAAAACTTTTGATCCAAGTTACATATTATGACAAATTTACCAACCAGATTTGAATGGAAATGCCAATCAAGAAATTAAAGACTCGTAACCAATCAGAAATTGTAAATGGATATTAAAATTTAAGCTGGAACAATTATGGCTTATTTTGAGAAGTGATTTTCTTAGTGTACCACAAACCCTGATAGCAAGCTTAATTAGAAGTGAAACTATGTAGAAAAAACAGTTTTTTACATAAAAGTAGTTCCATTACATACAAAATAAATTTAACCAATATGGCATTGAATTTAACAAAAAATAATTAATTATGCATTCTGGTTTACATCCAAATACAGTACATGAGGTATTTTTCATGTATTATTAAGGAAAAATATAGCCAAGCATAGCATCCTAAATTTAGAAGAAAAAAATTACCAATACCACCACCAGCACTGTCACCAAATATACACATTAAAAGCATTAACAAACAACTATGCAGACTACAGAATTCAAATTACTATGCTAACATTACACAGAGCACTTTTAAAATTTTGGTTTATTAGCTTAAAATTATATATATTTATCTTTGCAACAATCTAGTCTGTAAATTGGTTAGGTATTGCTAAGGGCAATTAATTGGACCATGTGGTCACACCCATGGACAATGTGAATCCAGAAATAAATATTTAAAACAATACCAAAATGTGGTCAACAATGTAAGTGTACTCTGCAGGAGCTGACTGAAATGAAATCCTGATGGCTAATGGTAAAGGACAGGCACAACTGGGGAATGGCATGGGGAAAGGGAGAGTTATTAAAACATTTAAGTGATTTCTATTCCCTTTAAAAAGATATATGCCGACACAATGGGAATTCAACAATGAAAGTGAATCAGACAATATTACAATTCATTTTCAGTGTCATTAAACTTGGGGTCATACAATTTAAAACAAGTATTCACTATGCACTAGGTGGCGGGGACATTGTTATTATAAAAATAGAATCAAATAATAAACACTAATGTCCTAATAATTAATATATACCCTTGTGGAATACTATATCAATTTTCATAGGCTTAGTAGGTTTAGGTTTACATCAGTATGACATACAAAAGACTAAAAAGCCCGTCATTGCAAAGTTGGTAGTCAGGACTCTCATGTGCTCCTGTTGATTACACAAATGTTTTTTAGAGTTCCACTTTTTGTTTTATGTAGTTGCAAATAATGTAAGAAAAAAATACTTTTTCTAAGGATGTGGTCGCAGGGTCTAATTAATCTTCCCTTACTATACATAGGCTATTCAAGATATATTTATATATATTATATATGCACACAAATATAAATAATCATAATAATTAACATACGGTAGTCAACCATAGCAGATAGTTTATTTATCAATATTAAGGTATATATATATATATACATATATATATAATCTAATAAGAACTATTAACAAAACCATGCAAATATTTGTGTTTTAAAAAATTTGAAAGGATAAATTACAGGATAGAAGTGATTACATTGATTAATTCAATATAGATCATATGGACCAAAAGTTTATAAAATTAGAGTTAACAATTTGGATCAGAGCTTAGACAATCAAGAAGAAAAATCTAAAGAAGTTAAATGTTAGAATATAATAAACATCATAGTCACTGTCTAATACTTTAACACCCATGTGCAACTGATCACACATCACATACCAACCAATATACAGACATTTAGTGGGAGTGGGGTTGGGTGGGGAGGAAGGGAGGATCTACTCACCGTCACTTTGTGTAAGTCCTCTGGGCCTGGAATCTCTAACTCTTTGTGTGAATTGACCAACGTCTCAATAATCAATTGTTGCTCATCTGATAGCTGGAAGATGGTGGAGTTGATATCGTCGCCACTCTGTTGCGGGGATGGCAGGTCAAATGATTGTTGTTGTTTTTTTAGTAGTTTCCGTTGTCTTTTTGATTTGCACTGTTCCTCTGTTAGTAAACCTAGAGGGCGACAAATTGTAATATGATCATAAGACAATATTCTACAATTATCCATATAAAAACATTACATTATAACTACAAGTTTCTTGTTACCATGACGCTGACATCTTACAATACTTACATTCTGCTAACATCCCTACATCACGGCATTTTCTTAGACGACATTCCTGACATTTTCGTCTCATGTACATATCCATCTCACAATTACCTCCTCGCGTACATTTGTAAACTGCATTTTTTGTGATACTTCTACGAAAAAAACCTAACAGGAAAAAAAACCATTAACATTTTAATGCAAAGTGCTACATAATGAAGTGCTATAGATGGTTCGTTCCTCATTGCATGATAAAACCACTTTCTCTTCTCACAATTTATGCAGCACATAAATGAAACATTAAATTTTGTCACCAGAAATTTGTAGTAGTATTACAGTATTTAAAGTCTAATTTTTTAAAGAGGATTTATAACTATTCAGTGATTTCTATATTTTGTTTCCTTATAATCTTAATGTGTTTCTACAAGCATCTTTTTTTTTATTGCTTCATTAAGCTAATATCTAGGCCAACATACCTTTGCATCCTTCACAGCTAAGAGCATTATAGTGGAATCCAGATGCACGATCCCCACACACTAAACACAGCTCCAGGTCCATTCGCGGTGCAGGCCCCTTCCGCCTCTTTGCAATGGTTGACCCATCCATCATCAATGGGGATGTCTGTGAGGTCGAGGAAGGGGACACCTGGGAGGCAGGAATAATCTGTGCCCCGCCAGATCTTAATTCGCCTATGTGGTGTGTTGTCAGGTATGTATCATAACCTCCATCTGGAGGCTCTTTCTTTACCTGCTGCTGTGTCAAAGGATCTGCAAAAACAAACAAATATAACATTATAATTAAGTCAATCGTTACATCATCACTGTATTTCCCAATTTTATTTTCCCATTTTGTGGAATGGTAAATGATAATTGAAGACAGACACCACTCAATTTTCTGAAGAGAAAAGGTCAACAGACAAGATCAAGGTTACGGAAATTCACATAATGGTGTATGTTCAAATAAATAATAATATTTTTATCAGAAAAAAAAAAGACATTTATATTTTAAGTGATAGTGTACTTCTACATTATACAAGAGATGCTGTGGTATTACCAAATAATCTATAATTAGTTATTTAATTTCATAACAACAAATTCTCTGATGGTTGAAAAATAATTGATGGTCAATATTTCAGCTAGTATAAGGCCCTATAAAAAATATTATTAGTTTATCACCCTATCTGGGCAGGAAAAGTGATGAGGGAGGGATTTAGATAATGCAAAAAATATCTACTAACTATTTAATAAAATTTTTCAAATGTTTTTTTTTTTTTTCAAAAAAACATTTTTTTTTTTAGTACCATAAAAGGCATGCGCGCAAGGGTGATAAACTAATAATTTTTTTTATTGGGCCTAAGACAAAAAAGAAATCTTATAATACAGTAAGGCCAAAAAAAAAAATATACTTGTATAGCATCACCGCCCGACCGATTTTCTAGCCTCTCATTTTTTTTTTTTTTTTTTTTTTGGTAAAAAAGTGCTGAAAATCGACTAAAAGATGCCGATTAATAGAGGAAAAACGATCGGTTTTTTCATCTTCAGCACAGGGAAAACAAGATGTGAAGTGCGCCACCAAGTGTGTTTTCTTTTCCCGCAGAAAAAATAGATTCCCTCCTCACACATTGTGCTTGTTGACAGAAATCGCGGACAATTTGATCGTAGACGTACTTGTTTTGCTTTGGTTCTTTTTAGATAATAAACAATGTTTTAAATATGATAATAATAAAGTACTATGAAGAAAAATAATAGGTTACGACCTACGCTTCAATTGGCAGATGTTTTAGGCCTAGCCTAAGTGCTACCTAACTAGGCCTAGACCCCTAGCTAGTACTACTAAGTACGGCTAGGCCTACCTGGCCTAGGCCTAGCCTAGCACTGCAACAGTTGCCTACGGAACCACAATGCTTATTAAAATAAATATTGTACAAACAACTCTTTTATGTAAAATTTAGTGTCTGTTATAGCCTTTGTAAAAGATTTGGCTTGGCACCAATGCAGTTTTTGAAATCTCTAGGCCTAAGAAGCCTACACATTAGGGCCTAGGCTAGGCCTAGGTCAGCAAAAAAAAATTTTTAAAAATAAAAAAATTGGTGTCTGTCTCTTATACACATCTAGATGTGTCTAAACAAGTATATTTTTTTTGGCCTAATTCAGGAGTTGATCAAAATTGCAGAGTACGTATAACTTGATAAATATAGGGTACAATGTGTTTAAAGTTTTACATTGACTATAAAATGATAATAATTATCAAATGGCAAAGTACATGACCTTTGCACGGGACAAAACTAGCAATGTGTATCAAAATATAACAAACTCTATTTTCTTTTTCAGAACTAAAAAAAATAATATTGATATTCCAGTGCTCAATTATCTAGTCAGAATTACTTTCAATCTTGTTAAGGCCTAAACAAGTAGTAACCTGGTATCACTTTTGTGCTATGCTATCACAACAGAGTACAGTTTTCAAGAAGTGTATATTATTTCATGTGATTCGTATCCATAAAAGTACATACTCACTGTAAATTTAAGACTCGGATACTGATGGTGTCTACTTTCAGCAAGTGCATTAGATACAAAACACCACAAAACCAAGACATCTACATCATCAAGAGCCCATGATAATTCTCAACATACGAAACCATAAATCTAATTCTATAGGCCTGGTTCCTAAATTCCAAGATTTTAAGATAAATCACTAATAGTAACAACCCTTGACAGGAAACCTGGACCTTTTGCATCATTATTACAAAACAAAATCCTACACAAACTGCTAGTCACAGACCTATATTCTACTTGGGTTCAAGGTTGGAAGGGTAAGCTGCCAATGCCTGACAAACATTCTTAAGTACAGTAATACAAACAAGTCTATTTCAACATCACAGTATACTGTAAATTTGAATCATAAGTTATGGTAATGTCGGTAATACTTATAAGTAAAATGAGTTCTTATACAGCACATTTTTGTGAACATGAGTTAGGATGCACCAGATTCCAACCTAAGGTTAAGACCTTTTAAAATTAAAGTTTACAGATCATAGAGCACAATCTACTGTACAATCATGCACTTCAGTACTGCAATCATAAAGTGCCAAGTATTTAATATAATTATTTCACATATTTCACTTGGGTAATCATTTTCATCAAAAAGATAAAATCATTTCATCATAAAAATATGTTTACCTTCTTAACATCAATTTACAGTTTTCTATCATGACATTTTTAAAGACTTTTGCACTTTATAAATCCAACAATGTCAAGCATTGTTTTACCTTGGTTACATCAACATTAATAAAATCATTGTGAAATATAAGGCAGTCCAGTTTGATCGGTTTAGTAACAGTTAACTAACATTCAGATTCTGGTATATAAATATAAATCTGAATTCATAAAATGATTAAGTTTCTGGAGATGGCATCCACTATCATCATAGCATAGCACAAGCTAAATACCTCACTTCACCCTTACAGTAATATGGACCAGCATGCAGTATGATCTACAAAGAATTCATTCCATCCCAATAAATCAATTACAACATACTGCGTTATCTCACTAACAATTAAGGTAGTCGACGGCGAGAACGGTAGGCTAGCGGTGAATAGGATGTCTCATACCTGCACTAGGATCAACACCTATTGTCAAACTAACGACATGTGCTCAGAAATTTCATAAATTTGTTGTGTTCTAAACCAGCAGGTTTGAATGCACCAAATGGTCTTGAGTGTGTTGTCAGCTGCTTCAGTCTTCTAGATTAATCACTCACATAATACTTTGGGAGTATGACAGTTCAACAGCCATTTTTAATGGTATTATTGCTAAATGCCAATTTTTAAGGATCTTTTTTACATCACACTAGAGTTTCTTTATAAAAGGTTTGGCGTATATTTTCTTGCATCAAACATTTTTGCATTATCACCAAAGAAGCCATGGTAGATGTAAAAAGCCCATGTAATAAAATGTGACAATAGTCTTTAAAGTGTTGTTCCTATATTTGATAACTGTATCATAAGATTATAGCTACTTATGCAACTGTTCAGTAATTACTTGGTAAATCAATAAAAATATCATCCCATGTTTGTGTTTCAACATGGTTAGAATAATGATAGTACTGTGTTTTTATAGCCTTCTTGTGGTCTACTTTATTGAGCAGGGTTCACAGCACTTTGGATTGATGTACACTCTGTCGATAATAAAGGGCCTTCAATTCCATTAGGATTTTCTACTTGGGTAGCTCTCTTTAGATGAGCCAGATTGGTATCATAGCCAGAATCCAATAAGCAACCTCCATTTTGACTGTAATTCCTCTAGTGACTATGTCTAGCATGGTGTTGAAGCTAGTGTAATGTTTAACAGGCAAGCCAGCTAGTTAATGGTCAAAATCACATCATTCCACTTTAACTTAGCACACACTATTTCATAATTTTAGCCATGCTATCAAAGAATTCTTTTACCATCCACTTAAACAGTTTTTACTTCGTCAGTTACATAGGCCAGAACTTTTACTAAGTATAGTTCCCTAAATGGGAGGGGGAGGGGAAAGATATGCATATCATGTAGTACCAAGTGGAATCATTCAGAGAATGATGTTTCCCTTCCATTATGTGGGGCTAAGGGGCCACCAAGAATCCCCAAATTCTCATTTAGGTATTACCAGGGATTAAATTATCCTATTTTAGCCCAAAAAATTGACGTTTTTTACGTACTTTTATTTGGTTTTGAAAATAGTTGTAAAATGTCTGCCTTTTTTAACTGTTGATATATATTAACTTTTTCATAAAATGTTGAACAACAATAAATCATTGCTAACATTAAAGCATTTGAGTTACATAACAAGAGTCCCCAATTAAGGACTGGGAGCCACAATCTTATAGAAACTATAATAGTAGTTTGAAAATTTGAAATTTACAAGATCCTAACACCTCTCATTATATTTAATAACTCCTCAAAAATTAAAACAAAACACTGAATGAATAACTGTATACAGATCAAAACTGGTTTCACACACTTTATACTTCAATAAACTCTCCTTATTCACAAAGAAGACTGGTAATAAAATCAGTGAAATCTTCTTTTTTTTCAGTAATAAGTACCAGTAATATATTTTTTAGCTTTCAGAAAACATAAACTTTTATTTAAATTATAAAGATTAGAATGTTTAAGAAATTAAACTTTCATACTGAAAAAAATACTAATACATATGAAGTATTGATAGTTTTATGAGGTATTGTATACTCCCACAAAACGATGCTCTAAATATCACTGTGGAAGGTGGACAACTGACTACACAATCATACTAATATTAAATTTCATCGAAACCTTCAGTTATGTGGTTAAATACATTTGATGATTGCAAATTGTTAAACTACCAACCTCAAAATTTGTCCTTTACAACTAGAGTTCTTTAAAATATGCTGTCATATATATTATACAGTAAATTACATTATTGAATTTGGCTACTTTGTATATTTAAGTAGGGTAAATTAGCTTTTAAAGGGTAAATTAGTTTTCTATTGAAAATTACAATTAATGTTAATATTATTTTCAATATTCATATATATATATTATATATGAATATAAATATATATGAATTATACATATTCAATAATTATTTCAATAAATCAATTTAATGAATTTTGAATAATTTAAATTTATCACTTATATTTGATCCTTGTAAATTTTAATGTTGTCATGAAATATTTTGGGAGATTTTTAGATTTCACCATACCAATATTTTGAGTAGTGGTAGAATAATTTACAATAGGAAAGTTACA